GTTTTGCTCTGCCTGGTCATTGGATTCTTTCTTTTGCTCCACCTGCTCTTTGACCTTGGCATCTTTCTCAGCTGCCTTCTTCTCAGCTTTCATTCGTCTCTTCAGCTCACTGACAGAAAAGTGAGGAGGAATCAAAATATTACATTTTTGCTGTTAATGACATAACTACAGCTGAAAGGTAATGGACATTCAAACTGGTGAACACGACACACAAATGATTTCCCACATAATCACGCTGTACATTTTGTTTTCAGGGATGGGCACAATCTAGTCAGAACAGAGACGCAAAACAAATAATCATGCAGACAGGGGAGGGGAACCACATTTGCTCTGATGACAAAAGGTTGGTTGTTTTTCCCATGGGAATGAAAAAGCCACCAACCTTTTGTCACCTCTCGATCGGTTCCCGTAAAATTGGGCCGGGACCGCAGCTGTACGTGGGGACGCACATTTTAACCACTGTTCCCTGACCCCACAGGCCCGAGACAGCTGCTGCCTGGCTGCCCTGACCAGGTACAGCATGCTGAGCTATCACAGTCAGCAGCAGGCAGACCTGAGAAAATAGACATAAGCCGTTTTCAGACATGAACTATAGAAAATATCAGCAAAATTGGGTCCCGATTTGTCTTTCACACTCAGACGTGTTGACATAAGCAAAGACATCTCTGGAACATTCAGGTGAAGGGTGGCACAGCATGCAGGAGGCAGGCCGTAATTTATTAACTCTGCTGAGGAGATCCTGTGTTTTTGTTTACATAATATCGACACTGTTGTCAGCCCTTAAAACCAAAGTCTCTGTTGACATCTTTGTCTGTCTTCAATTTGTACCACATCTTGTTTTAATCCTGAGATAATTGTATTCTTTTAGTTTTTTCATTTTTGCTTCTGTTGTGTGTTTGAAACATCATCAACACAACCACTTGCTAGTGGTGAATCTTCCAGAGAATCTCCTGCTGTGTTCTCACATTGGCTCCTCCGGATATTATCCAGAGTTTTTTACTCAGAGGCTGGAAAGAGAAAGTCCAGAGCCTTTGACTCAGACACTTGCATCCTCACATACAGCCCCTCCGGATAATATCAGAAGATTTTCTGGAGTTCATGTCTGAAAGTGGCTACATTTTCTAGTAGAGGATGTCTTAAGACAAACAGGAAACACTGATGGGGGGAAACAGAACTCAGACCAAGACTTAATATGGCCGAGAGAAAAGGCAGCAGATTTTATATTAAGAAACTGGTTGAAGATTGACTTAAAGGTCCAGTGTGTAAGATTTAGGTGAAAGGGAACTATTGGCAGAAATTTAATGTAAAATAATTCTCATGATGTTTTCACTAGTTTGTTTCATCTAAATTGTATGAATTGTAGTTTTCTTTACCCCAGAAAAGTCCCTTTATATTTAAATACTTTATATTTACATCGAGGGGACCCTCTCTACGGAGGATGCCATGTTTTTACATTAGTCCAGACTGGACAAACTAAACACCTTTTGAGTTTTTATCAAGGGCTACCACAGTTTCTCTTTCACTTTGGAAGGAGAGGGTGGGTGGGTGAGGGGTGTTCAGCTGCAACATGCAAGATTAGATATCACAAAATTCTATACACTGTAACTTTGACTTTCGATTAGTCCATTGGGTGTGTCACAGACAACATTAATACTACCAGTGAGAAAAGACAGTCGATGCACAAGAGAGTCTTTCAGCTGATTTCAKTATTAAATAGTCCTTAGTTCAAATGAGATATGATATCTTTGATTTGATTACGTTTGTTGTTTTTCTTTACTTTGTGTGCTCTCATGTTATTTGGGCGTATCTATTCGCTCAACCTGAGACAGAACGATTTTATCTAGAAATCAAAAACGTGACTTTATAGTTTGCATTGGCAATGTATTTTAATAATTAGAAAAAAAATCAAAGCTGGAGAAAATGGAAGAATTGCTGGGACGCTCAATATGAAATATATCTACAGCAAAACATCCACATTTCTACAGACGACACGTTCAAATTAAAATAAAACACAGACGAATCCGAAATCAATGTGCGGAAGACATTTTTTTCTAACATGCATTTTGGATCTTGTAGTTTTTCTGTTTGATAAAACGCACGAGCACGAACGGCTCCAGCCCACACTCAGAAATACAACTACCAGAGGCAAAACCGAACTGAATCACGGGATGTGTAGGCTTCTCTCTCGGCTTCATATGGACCCTGACTTCACTGGAGCCTGATGTAACATGGAGTCACGTCGCACAGCCACGTTTTAAACACTCACACGTGTGGAGGCTGCGGGCGACTTCACCTAACAGAGAGTGGCGGTGGAGGAAGGATTCAATATGACGGTAGAGAAACAGACGCTTACTTTTTGCTGAGTTTGTCTCCGTCCGCCGCTGTCACGTCGGCCATGTTTCACTGTGCGCCTGGAGGAAAGATCGGAGGACGAGCGCGCGCTGCAAACACGCGAGAAGTGGATGGTGCGTTTGAGGGACTGTCGGAAATGAGCCCGAGACAAAAGTTGGGTTTCTTCTTCTTCTTCTTTTAGGGCGGTTTGCATCCTGCTTATGGGCTCATTACCGCCACCTTCTGAATGTTGATCAGAAAATAGACTCAATCTAA